ATTAAGTCTATTTGCACATAAGTGCAATCACAATATGATTCTAGTATAAAACAAAGCAAACTGAAGTGCTGAAAAACATGCTATCGGCGGCGGGAAATGTCTTAATAAAATTACCTGTTTTAGAACTGTTGCAGAGTCCATGCTGCTTTCTAATGTCATCTTAAGCTGGAATCGGTACTTAAAAAATGGTCCTTATATGAAATTCGCCAATTCAGGGTATGTTCCACAACCTGCTCACCATCCACAACGCAATTTGCCGTTTCCACGACACCGACTCAAACTCGCTCACAAAATTGAAACAGGTAGCTCCGGAGACAAGAGTCACCAGAATAGAATTGCAATCATATTATTACAGGTCAATAACTATTTCAACCAACTATACGGTTACACTGGATGTGAGGATATCGACTATCAGAATTTTATAGAGTTCATGCAAGATACCAGCTATGGAGACGCACAAGAGAGTAGGAATTCCATAGCTAAGATAGTCTTAGGGTCTTTAACTGTAATTTCTCAGTTCGTGCTTGGGTATGGCAAACATGCACAGAGTTTGGTTACTACCAATCTACTGACTCCGACACTGCAGGACCGTTCTTTGGTGGAAAGCCAGCCCTGCCAGTTAAGTAAGTGACTTTTCTGCATGGCATAGTATTAGCCCAATATTTCTCTTTTTCCTCCTTCTCTAAGTCTTAGTTAGTATTAAGCTGATAGTTTACAACTTCCGAATTTTGAAGCAGCTGAGTATTTTATTCAGGTACTACATTGACGAATGCACTAACATCTATGGTACCCAGTACAATTCAGCGTCAGTTGCTGATGCTGTTGCTAAAGTGAATGCATACTATGGAGGTCGCGACCACATGCAGGTGAACTTATTATCCGAGATGGCTGAGTGCTAAGTTGTTAATATATTTTTGAAGTTTCCAAAAAAATAGTTTTTTGGCAATTTCTTGGAGTCTTTAAGCGTTTCCATCGCTACTCACAGTGATAACTCAAACGATGCCGTTCCATAAATAGAAGATCTAGTATAATTCTGAGAACTTAGAAGACAAATCTAGTTGACAGTTCTGCATTCGCAGAATAATTGAAAAATGTCGATTAGTACTGCTCTTTCCAGTCGTCCTACATTGTGCTTCCCAATGGAAACATCGACCCGTGGCACGCACTTGGAAAATTGAACAGCAACATTTCAACGATTATTCCTGTGGTGATCGATGGTAAGTTAAAGCATGGTGCAGGTTTGCTTCCGGGTACCCTCTTCTAAAAGTTTCGCTAGCAGAGGGATGGTAGTGAATGACAGTGTGACAGGCGGGTAGTGCTAACCGCTTGTCCTTCATTGCAAACAAACCAACGTGAGAGGAACTGCATGGAAGTCCAGCAGTGAACATGCATAAATTCTTCCAAAAGAATAATAATATGCGTTTTCCTTTTTGGGTAGTGTAGACAGAATATCTTATAATTCGAACGAAATATATAAAATTTTTGCGAAAATAGCTTTGAGAATAACAAACTTCTTGAAGAGCATCTTCTCCTTTTTGAAATCCTCC